TGAGACAAGTTGCTATTTAAAATACGGGGCAAGCAAATCAGAAGCAAAAGTAGTACCTCTTCAAATGGTTCAATGTCTGCTACTGAACTTCACTGCATGGGGTCATTAGCTGTTGGCAGCTCCCGCCTGCCAGCACAGGAATGGATGTCTGGTCACTTGGTCACAGTTCTCTGCTTCCAGCTGCTAAGCTACATCAGAAGACAGAGAAAAAACATAGTACATCTATTTCTAACATATTTTACATAGGCAGTGTCTATCGTATCCCTAAAAGGTTTTGCAATCAAACAGAGAAGGTGAAGAGGTTTAGCCAGTTGCATATGGGAATGAAAGCAGTTCCTAAGTGATTCAGTAGTGCATAGTGCAAATAAAATTTGAAAACGCTTGTTACTACAGAAATAAAGTTAGATTTCACAACCAATAACCCATTGCAGTTATTAATACTAGTATAAAGAACTGATAAAAGTTCCATGGTTTGGCATGTATGTCAATCAGTAATCTCAAATACCAGGTAAGAATTCCCCCTCTGGTCCTCCAAAACTAACTTCAAACTGCCTGAACATGACACAAAGCTATCAACTTAATCTCGTAACAAACAAGAGTGAATGGAGAGAACCGGACTTAATATCAGTGATCTTATAAGGCATGGAAACTGATGTTTTCAGAGGGTTTCTTCTGTTTTTATTGAAGTGGTTAGTGGCTCAAAGCTGAACTAGCAGCTGGTCACAGAGTTTCTCAGGGGTTGATACTGGGTCCAGTACTACTCAATATTCTTATAAATCATCTGGATAACAAGACGGAATTATCTTCACCAAGTTTGCAGATGACATCAAATGGGGAGAAGAGGTAGTTAGAGGGGACAGATGGGCCACTATTCAGACAGACTTGGACAGGCTGCATGACTGGGCCAACAAGAATTGGATGAGACTTAACAAAGTCCTGTGACCAGAAGGAAATAATCTCAAGCAGCAGCACAGGCTGCTCCATTAGCACTGGGCTACAAACATCCACACTGAAAAGCTAAGACAGAACTGAATACAGAGATCTCTGTGAAATCAGTTTGACCAATTCTTCAGCACTCCAAGCTTCCTGTTCTGAAAGACAGGACAGCATATACTTCCCCCTCTTTATAACCAGGCAAATCTACATAAATTAAAAAAAATCTAATAAGGGAAAAATATAACCGGGAGATTCTTAGACTGGGTAAGCTGCATCTAACCACACACTCCAAATGCATGTGTAAAATATATTCTTATAATACACATTGACAAAAATAGTAATTACGTTTAAAAACAAGCCATATAAATTGCAACGTAAACACACACAATGCATTCCAAATACAGATCTGAGGATTGAAATTATAGGACAGGATTGTGAAATCTGTGGAATTTTTTTTCCTGAACTCAGTGGGTTCAGGCCATAAAAAAGGATCAGCATTAGTTAGCTGTAAAGCAACAGTTACCTCGAGAGTAAGATCCAGGCCCACTCTCCTTCAGTTGCAGTTCCCTGCTTTCCCCAGCTTTACACTCTGTGTTACATTTAGGAATTTATACTTTGGTGGTGTCACAAGAGTCAGGATCTCCTATATTCCTTCTTTCTCCTCCACAGGTAACTGTAACTTCAGGAAGAGTCTATATAGAACCAGTGATCCAGCAACTAATGCCACCACATTTTCTGGCTTTACTAAAATCTTTCTTACCAATTATTTTGTTTAGCCATTTCCTTTCGTTCAAATTTCTGGTGTTACTGCCTGAAATGAACATGCTATCCCTTCTCCTCTTATCAAACTCTGTTAAATAGAATTTTATTTTAGATGCAAATATAAATGGTGTATACTTTTGTACAATGTTTGCCTCAAAATGATAAGGGGCCATCAGCATTTAACGTGTTCTGCTCTCAGATCCATTTCACTGAGCAGAATTTTGCTGAATTGTTAGAGAAAACAGTAATGTAATTTTATTTCCCAACGCAGGCATCATATTGGATTAGAAAGTTGCTTTTTAGGCAAAGTAAGAAACTCACATTAGATTTTAGTGCACGACACTTCATAATCCTCCATTTTTATTTCATCCATCATGACATGTTGAAAAGGCAACCTTTCCAGAAATGGGGATATCCAACTGCAAGATGATCAAGGACATACTTTCTTAATTCTGTATCAGGCTCCTGGATAAAAGGACAAGTTCTGGTCTTCATATGGTGTTAAGATGACCATCTCTCTTCCCACAGAACCTCATGTAATAAGACCTTATCAGGATGTGGCAGACAAAGACAAATTACATTAAAAATTTTACCCCTACTATTACTCCCGTTCAGACATAGGAAAAGGCTGTGCTGTGAGCTAGGAGGAAGTAGCAATCATTAGCAGAAGCAAATTGCTGTTTACCTTCGATGTCCATCCAGATCTGGAATGTATCCACAAACATGCATAAGACATAAAACTGCCCTACTTTTATAACCAAGTGACATTGTTCTGTGTCAGTATTTCAAATCTGTCCTCTTGGGGAATATCCCCAACGTGCATTTTCGCATCCTCAAAGTTATGGAGACAGCAATTTCCTTTCTTGCATCAGAAAGTTTGTTGTGCTGTTAACTTATGTGTAAAAATTGTGATTTGTATATAAAATTGATCAGTCTACAATGTGTGTGGCCATGACAAACCGAACAGACCACAGTTCTTGATAGCATGCATTCCATAAAACTAATGACAGTCAAACACATGCCACCACCCACCCATGACAGATGAGTAAAACCGGAGTCTTTTAAACAACTAACTCATCTCAGAGCAAATTACTTCAGTACCACTTAATCCAAAAGAGACCAACCAAATAAAACATAACCATGAATTAAAAAGCCATCTCATGTGTTGTATAGAAACTCCACATTCCCTACCCATTCTGAACAGATTAGAAACTACAATTAGTATACTATCATTAGTGGCATACATACTACACTATTAAGAGAAAGACACAAGTCTTTTAGGCATATAGATATGGGCAAATAGACCATATACTTCTAACATAGGAAACTGCATTGAGAAACTAAATTCCATAAAGTCTGGCAAAACCTTACATACATACAAACTGAAAGCTGCTTTGAATCCCCACATAGAGTCAATTATCTGGCAAAAATGACTCACAGCTAAAATATTCCTATTATGAGAGGTCACTAAGTGCATTTAGGATTTTGTTATCAGAACTACTTGTAATTTGCAAACGGCTCTACCCCGGCTGTTTGTCATCAGCAGAAAAATGCTAATGTTGACCAAAAAAAAGGAATAAACCTAGTAATATTGCAAGTGTATCTAACAGTGTGGGGGAAAAATAATCAGAAAATGTTTTGTATTTCACAAGGAATGGTTTTTAATAAACATCCATTGTTTAAGCCTGTTTAAAAAAAAACCCACAACTGCCTTCAGGATTTTGTAACAGGTATACCCCAGTAAACAATGTAAATATTTTTACTTTCATGACATTAAAATGGGTAATGTCAAGCCCCAGTGAGCAGAAGAATGCTTGATCAGATGTGTGTACTTGATAACTTCCTTAGTCCAAATAAAAGACTTGGAAGAACATCTCTAAGGCCTTTTTTTTTGTGTTAGCAGTTTAAGCATGCATACAAACAGCTCTCCAGAACATCATCCAAACAAAAATTGGCTCAGACATTTTGCAACAGTTGTTTGTGTTGTTTAAAAGGCAAAAATGGGAAAGAATTTATTGGACTCATTCTTGAAGCTTTCAAGAATTCATAAGCTTTTCTAAAAACAATACTGTTAATAAAATCCAGAAAACACAAAACAAGAGCAATGACGGAGAATATAATTTTCAAGTCTCAATCTCAAGGACTGTTTCTGTTGAAATTCTCTTCGATAAAACAGTGAAACTATATACCACAAAAGAGCTGTAATGCAGAGAAATCTTCCCTCACAAGCAGTCATGTTAGTTACAAACACACCACAGAATACAATGTGTTTATATACTAACACTCAAAACAACTAGAATTTTTCCAAACTCCACTAGCAAACTGCACATCATCACATTGCTTGGTCTTTTCATAGACAGTAAGCATTCTCTCTTCCTAACTTCCCTCTGTCAATTTGTCTCTAAATTTCAAGCAAACTGCTGATGTACAGCATAGTCTGGTTGAGTTTTTGGGACAATGACTAATGCCTTCATCCTATCACTTGTTCCTCCAGGCAAACCATAACACCTCAGATAAGCACTACTGCATATCAGTGTTCAATATGAAATGAGAATTAGGCTGTAGCTATTCAGTAATACAGTAAACTGCAATATTCATTTTTGAAGACATGCCAGAATCCAAACAATTTTTGGTAACTGTTTTGGGGAAGCATAAAAATATGTATTTTAACTATTTAGCTGTACTTGCAAGTTTCCTAGTGCAAATTTATGGCACATGCTATTCAAGTAAACAGCCTTTTTTTCCCCCCAAACCTCATTTGTTACAACCATCCTAAAAAGAAAATGTATTTTTATAAGTAATTTAAAAACTGGTAGACACTGTGTGTTAAAAGGATGAAGTAATTAAATCCAACTTGTTCCACTTATGCACATTACATAAAGTAAAATATAATTTAAAAATACGTCACAATAAAAACCTGTAGTGATTCTGGAAGAATTAAGCAAGCTGAAAAGTTATTTTTCTTGTTGTTGTGCGGTATCAGATATTGTTGTTGACCACTGCTTCATTCTTCAAGCTGTAGCATTTCTAACAAAATCACGAGAACATCAGAAGATACTTTTGTCCCCTAACCTCAGCTACAGACACTTGCCTTTTTTGCCTCTGACTGAATTTGAGATTTTCACTTGAAATGTGTCCACTGAGGTAAGAAAGGGTTAAAGGTTTATAGAATGTTTCAGCTGTGGAGCCATTTTTCCTGCCAGCTTGTTCTGGCTCCTTTCAAACCGCAAGAAAGCCTCAGATTTTTTGTTTTGTCTTGTCCTTTTCCAGGCCATACTTATCACAGCATGGTTCAGCTATTCCTACTTCAGTTGCGTTTTGTTGTACTTCATTTTCCACTTTTTCATCATTCTTTGTTTGCAGTAATTCTTCTTCGGCTTCTTTGTAGCCACACCTTCATTTCTAACAGGCTTAGCTGAACTGCCTTTTGTTTCCATAGCTACTGGCTTTCCCTCATAGGGTGTGTCCGATTGTCCTTTTGCCCCAGGCATCTAGACACATATGGGGAAAAAATAAAAAAAACCAAAACCAAAACTCGAATTAATAATCTTAAATCTGTATTGAGTGCACACACACACACACACGCACACACAACTACCTTCAGAGAACTGCATTCTACTCCTTGTCATTCCAGCCAGACTACTCAGAGGCCACATCTGGACTGTGTGACAGGCACATCTGGTCTTCCTGTCACCAGTGGGATCTTACCACTCCTGCCTCTTTCTTGCCCATGTGACTGGGCTTCCTTCTGGTAGAACCCAAAGTGTACTAATTGGAACTGATGCGTAACTCCATTTTGCCCTCATATGAAGTCAGGATGTGGCTAAAACATATAACTGGGCCTAAAAAGCATCCCACAATCCACTAAGCTAGGCATAGTTAGCCTGTAGCTTTTACACAAATGAGTAAATCTATGCTGAAGGAAAATAATGTTTGAAAATTTTCTTACTTTTAAAGTGTCGTACTACCTCTTCACAACATTAGAGCTGAGAGTGGGATCTTTGGGAATTTCCAAAGCATGATATGCATCACTTATTCACCCACATAAATTACAAAGCAGATTGGATTCCTAAAAAGTTTCCACAAAATTTCAATCAAAAGTTTCTTTGGATGCAGACAACTGATTCTTCTTCTCATAATAAATTGTATTCTGTTTTAAAAACAGCAGCAACAAAAAACAGATGCTAGTGACTTTTAGCTATATTAATTTTTATTTATCCTAATGATGTCTGGAAGGAAGATCACATTGAAACATCTAAACCATTTTATTTCTTTAGATTTAACCGCACTCTGAAGAAATTAAGAATAGAAGTACTGTGTAAAGTTGTTAATTTTCAGTAAAAATGAGTAAGCCATCCACACACAATTTTGTATTTATTATCTGAGACACAGAAATTACGTTTTCTGAAATTAAGGTACTCCCATGCCTCTAGACAGAGTATATATACACCTCTATACAAAATAACATATTACTCTTATTTTAGAAACAGTACTGCATATATACTGTTATGAATGTTTCACTGTATAGGGAACAGCATACCAATGAGAATTTAAATTTCTGTATGTCAGGGAAGCAACCTGAATTGCAATGGAAGTTTCCTCAAAGGTGAAGGAGTTCAGGGCAACCAGGGGACTGAGGAAAAGTACTTACACTTTCAACAGAGCAACAACGTTTGATTTTCTGTCTTGCCATACGATTACCCCACACCTACTAATGTAAAAGCTCTGACAATTTTTTGTTTGTGTGGCCAGTTTGCTTACAACCTCTCTTGTCTGCATGAGATTTCAGGTATCAAACATTACAGTTGAGTGCTCATTGCTGTCCCTACAGAGGAAGCTCTAATTTGGATCCCTCTCCTCCACCTGGCTACTTATTTTCACTAAGCCAGTTAGAATTTAATATCCTAAGACATGTCAGTTTCTGATGAAATAGCCCACCAACTTCAAGATTTTCAGATCGGGGGAAAGACAAAGGGACAAATGGAGATGAAGGTGGAACTGAAAAAAACAGGAAACCAGGTTGAAAGGTCCTTTCTGAAATTGTTTGCAGAAAAAAGTACATCAACAAAAAGCACCAAAGAGGCAAAATTAGAAAATCCTTATAACAGATACAAATATTGTATCTGTTTCAGCTGTACTGCAGACCTATAAATTACAAAGCTTTTAATTAAGCCAAATGCTACAATCTTTTTGCCATCCAAAATTATTACTAGCTCACATTAAAGATGCAAAACTTCATTTTGAAAGAATTTTGCAATCAAATAGTATGTGTGTGTGGGGAGTGTATTTAAAAAACCCAACCACTGAATGTTTCACAGAGAACTGCAATAAGAGTTCTCTTACCTGATTTTACGTGTCTACAGCTGTGCCAATCATGTTTACTCCTATTGTCATTAGAGAGAAAGCGACAACTCTACAGCATAAGTCCTCCAATCTATTTAAGAGGCCCATCCTAGTGTGGAGATGCATGTTACAAAATATTCCATTTCCCTCTGTTAACAGCACAACAAGCTTAAATGTTGTTTTTCCATACTGTGATTTAAAGTTAGGTGAGATGAATTTTTCAGGAAAAAGGCATTCCTATTCTTGGTAGCGGATCCAGAACTCTAAAGGGTCTCTCTGACCCCCAAAGATGACAGATAAATATACCAGCTATATATCCAAGGGACCGGAATAGATTATTTCAAAATTGCTAATCTGCGTTTCCATCAAGTGTGATACTGACCTTCTGTTTCCACAGGGCTTCCTGAGGAGCAGGTGGAAAGGTACATGGCACTCTTCCATGATTCACGTGATAGGGCAAAGGGAGGCTGGGATCTAGCGGCACCCAGGGCACTGAAAGAGTGGCAGGTACAGTAGGCAGATCACAATGAGCTTTATGCAAGTTATAGGATGCTCTCATTGTCTTGTCAACACAACTCTTGTAGATTGCAACTGATGAATCTCCTGCAGCATGAGTCAATAAATAAGAGCCCTCCTGCAAACTGAAAAGATAAAGTTCAAAATGAAGAATATTATTTAAATGTTTTTCATTTGTTTCATTTGATCAGGATAGCTACTAAGTTCTTAATACAAAAGCAAAACATCTTTAGCTATCAGTTCCTGTTTTGTAAAAAGGCTATGGACAAAACAGTAATTGATAAATACATACTAATCCCTGTGCTTATAATGTATTCATAGTGTACTAATTTGTCATCATATTCAACAAAACATTTAAGCATACACTGAAAAACATCCACATTTGGCAAACTGTAATTCTTTAATGAGCGCCTTACAAAGCATAATGCATATATGGACACAGATACAAAGAACAGATACGCTTTAAATACAGGCAGGATTAAACAGGTTTTCAGGAAGATAAATGTCAACTGATGGCCCATATCAAAAATCTTAGCCACAAATCATGAAGCTACAAAAATTATGAAGTACGGGAAAACTCTTCCGTGATTCAAAGTAAAAGGCTTCACACACAGAGCAAGAAACCTGCTTCACAAAAAAAAAAAAAAAAAAATTACGACACTTGCAAACTGAAAGCCTTGAAGTAGCTAAATAAAGGAAAGGAAGGAGCAGGAGAAAGGTTGCAATGTTGTACAGAGAAAGAGATATGCTGTTGTAAGTCAAGCTATGCAGAAGGGAACACAAGCAGTATTATTTCTACAGATTAAGCAAAAAGACTAACAAAAACCAGACATCCAAATTTTAAATGTCAGCCTACGCACAAAATACTACAACTCAGCCAAAAAAGGCCTGTCATGGTTTAGCCCCAGCCGGCAACTAAGCACCACGCAGCCACTCACTCACTCCTCCCCCACTCAGTGGGGTGGGGGAGAGAATTGGGAAAAAAACCTCATGGGTTGAGATAAAAACAGTTTAATGGGACAGAAAGAGAGAAGGAAACAACGATAACAACAATAATGATACCGACAAAGGAATGTACCAGAACAAGTGATGCCCAATACAGCAATTGCTCACCACCCAGTGATTGATAGCTTGTCCCCGAGCAGCGATTTGTGTCTCCTTGGAACTGCCAGGCTGACAGCATACTTCTTCCAAATATTCTGCTAGTTTATCAGGATTCTGCACTTGTTTGGGTGTAAAGTTCCAAAACACCGGAGGTGCCCACCGCCCCAGGCATTTGCCCATGCTGTTCCAGACGCCCTGCCATTCATAACTATCCAGCCTTGGGGCAGATCTCTGGATGATATTCTTAAATTGCTTGCTAACCTTAGACAAAACCGAAACAGTGTTCCCCAGAAGTAGCAACAGAAGTATTTTAACTACCCAAGGGTGTTCAAAATACTGAAAAGTTATTGTGATGAAGGAGGAAACGTTATGATAGAGGGTAGCAAAGGTACCATTATGCACTTCCTCCATAAAAAGCCTTTCAGAGACAGAAGTATAATTGCTAATTGTCTCCACAAGATAGGAGCCAAAATACAGTAACGGCTTTAGTACAGAGCTCAGATACCACATTAAGCTCAAGGTCAGTGTTCTAAAAACAAGTCTCGTAGGCGAGACATAACTAATCATCGCAGAGTACAGCAGACTGCAGAAACCAACACCGATCCTTAACATGTACGGCAAAGATGAGAGCATGATGCAAATCAAATAAACTGATGTTGTGACCTGCAACTTGCAATTTCACCTCCTGTGAAATCAGCTCAGGAGTGTCCAGTCTCCTCTCTTGAGTAAGTCGTTCACAAGAATTAAGTTCTTATTCTTTTGCATCATTTATACAAAGCCTGCAACCCTAGGAGCATTTTTACACTGTACTGCATTACACTATGATAGACATAAAAGAATGTGTAAAATATTTCATGATCTGAAGAAATAAAAATCGAGAAGTAGACAAGCTTTCTACAGAAGAAATAGGATGACCTGGGTACTGTTGCAAATAAACACAATGAAGAAGAATGGAGCACTTACTCAGACACTTTCTTCAAAATGTGATGAAGTATGTTTAATGAATTTGCAGGCCTGCAAAAAAGAAAGAAAAATAATTACAGAAGTAGTAACTTGCAAGGCTTGTTAGCATTTCATATTCATTGGTAAAAAACCTACTAAAAATACTCACTTAATCAATCCAAGTTTTTCTCTTAAAACTTCTGGAGAAATCTTTTCTAGCATAATAAGCTTTGATGTAAAAGCATCAATACGTCCTGAAAAATATTAATTCAATTAATCCACTAAAGGAGAAAAAATGCAAAAGCATAATTTGCAGACCTAATGCATTTTAAAAGGAACAACAAAAAAAAAAAAACACACGCTCTTTTACAGTGTAGGACAGCAAAAAGTATTTATCAATGTTGCACAATAACGGAAAGTAAAATGTATAGCTGCTTCAAGTACAGACATCCGTATTTTGGCTGTCTTTCTAAATCAGGGAGATGCCCATGATTCCAGCAAATCTCACATCTTGGGTGATGTCTGGGATATACAACCTCATTTTGCCATGGCCTTAATCTCATCAGTTAGTTTGTATATTCTCAAGTTTTTTTGATCCTTATCATTATGCTTCCTCACTGGACAGATCATGAAAGTTTATCTACGACAAATTTACTGCTGAATTTAATATACTTGTTTTTTTATTATTCTGATATGTTATATGAACAATTGTGTTATCTGATTTTCTGGGGATTCTGCACCTTCATCTCTTTAT